GCAAAAATAGAAAAAATCCAGCTACACAATGGAAGCACTGTGGAGAAATTTCGCTGCAGCCACCGTTTGTACAGGGGTCCGTACACCGGCCCACTCTATGGTAAGTTTCGAAAACTTCGATTTATTCGGTTTTTTTTTTTGAAAGTTATAATCATCTACTTAGAAAAGCTCCGCTTGTTTATACATGAGATAATTAGACTTGACAATGACCATGAAAAAATAATTATTCGTGAGTTTGAATTCGGCTGTTTTTTGCATCACTATCAAGGCTACTTTCGGAACTTATGCGACTATTACGTTGTACCCTCCCTTAGAAAAACACCAGGCGGTATGGAAGGAGCACGTCACTCGAGTGCGTGAGAAAATCTAGTAGACTTGGCATTTCCCTTTGAAAAGTGAGAGACAGAGGCAGAAAAATCGTAACTCGTACCAAAACAAACCACGAAAAATTTGATCCTAACCAAAAAAGAGGATTAACCTTCTTAGTTTCAGGACTCGACGTTGCCGAGCTAGCAACATTTCCACACGAAGTTGTAGAAGAAGCACGTGCCACAGCAGCACTGCTGCGAGAGCATTATGATGTTACACGTGAGTTAAACGGCGAGGAGCGTAAACGACGCGTCCTCATACGTTTTAGCAATAAGCTACGATCGATGCTGCCAGTGCTCAGTAAGGCGAATCGCGCAGACGCTGCAGCATATCTGAAAAAGCTTCGTAATCAGCTGATCCAGGAAATGGGACCTGATGAAACGACTGATCATGAAAGTCAAAGAATAGAATTCGACAACGAAACGGGATATGACCGAACAGGGCCGACCGACGGCGAAGTGAGAAATGGGAAAAAAACGGCTCACATCAAAAATGCCAAAACTGACAAAGCAGTGAAGGCTTACAAAGAAATAGGTTTTGTGAAGAAGTTGGAAGCCGACAAAATTATGGGAACTACGCAGGGGGTGGAACTGAACAAAGAATTGGAAGTTGACAAAAGCAAAAAAAATTGCAAGAGGGAGGTCCAAAATATTAATCGCACCATCTGACCATTTTGATTTATTACAATTATTGCTATATCAATTCAAAAAAAACTGTGAAACGTGAAAAATCGTGCAGTGAGAAGTGATTTTGCTTAGTTCTGACTGCCCGTATAACTTATAGATTTACAAGCACTGGACACTTGGGCTCGAATTACTTGGCTTTTACCTGAGAAAATAAGGAATGAAATAAAGGTAAGCTTGTTTTCAGCTACATAGGTGGTCGCTGTATTTAATCTACTCAGTTTGTTACTGTATTGTTATTTTATAATCTGTGCTATTAGTGTTGCTGTTTTTTTTTT